CTAAAAGCTCACAGTATTCCCATTAAATCAATAAAACAACTGTTTTCTATGTGAAGTGCACTTTTTAGGATTTTATCCACCGGCTATTTCTATTTTCCTTCCAGAAATGTAGTTTATTTTCATCTTCTACTGTTTTTCGGGCTTGATGGGGGGTTTTTCTTTTGGAAAATAAGCTACTTTTTCACTTATTTTCAGTCTCATTCTTTAAAATAAATAAATAAATAATAAATAAATAGTAAATAAATAATAAATAAATAAATAGATAAATAAATAAATAAAATAGAAAAAAAAAAGTATATATATATGCATATATGTTTGTGTTAAGCAACTTAACACAAACTAACTCAAGGGATGAGCCAGTGTTGTATCCACACAGACCGGACATCAGCAGTTTAAAGTGGATCTTTAGGCTCTTTGCTAACAGCAGCCTGTCACAAAGACGCGTCCTCACCAGTTTGACAGACAGAAAACAGGAGAAGTGTTGGGTCTAAAATAAGATAACATGCAGAAGGACTTTGGCTACTTACTCGGCTGTTTCTCCAGAAACTCCTGGAATTTGTTCCTCTCGTACTCCACGGACTGCTGCATGAGGTGAGGCCTGATGCTGCTCACCGCAAAGTTAGCCATGTCCATCTTCATCAGGTCCAGCACAGAGAAAATGGCCCTAAATGCAGAGATTAAAGCAGGTGACACAATAATGATGAATAATGACGAAATGATAAACTAAGACAAGATTATAATGCAGAACAGGCAGAGATTAAAGCAGCTGACACAATAATGATGACCAATGATGAAATGATAAACTAAGCCAAGATTAACTAAAATAAGATAAAGAAAAGATAAAATAAGGTATGATAAGATAAAACTAAATTAAGATAAGATAAGATAAAATAATCTAAATTAAGGTAAAATAAGATAAAATGAGATAAGATAAATTGAGATAACATAAGATAAAATAAGATTACATTAGATTCATTAAGATTAGATAAGGTAAAATAAGATAAAATAAGGTATGATAAAATAAGATAAATTAAACTAAGATCAGATAAAATAATCTAAATTAAGGTAAAATAAATTCAAATAAGTTAAGATAAATTAAGATAACAAAAGATAAAATAAGATTAGATCAGATAAATTAAGACTAGATAAGGTAAAATAAGCAAAGATAAGATTAAATAAGGTATGATAAAATAAGATAAATTAAGCTAAGATAAGATAAAATCATCTAAATTAAGGTAAAATAAGCAAAAATAAGTTAAGATAAATTAAGCTAACATAAGATAAAATAAGATTAGATAAGGTAAAATAAGCAAAGATAAGCTAAAATAAGATAAGATAAGAGAAGCCAAGTCTATTATTGGTCCCACAATCTGGAAATTCACATGTTACAGTAGCATGTTTAAAAACAATAAAAAGGAAATTAACGAGCAATTTCTGTTTAGAATATCCAGATTTAGCAGAATTAATGATTGGTAGAAAATAAGATGAGACAACCAGCATGTAACCGGTAAGATAACAGGTAAAATAGAGAATGAATAAATACGGAGTGATATTTTAAAAGTCGCCATTTTGGATAAAGGGCGAGTTTTTCCAAAGGGAAAGCGGTCGTGCAGCCTATAAAATGAGGCCGGAGTAGTTTCAGAAACCCACTGGCACCATCAGGTTTGCAATATCTGTTTTTGCTCAAAATCTATCAGCACCACAACAGTGTCATGTGACTTTTTACTCTGTAAACAGATTAAATTGCATGCTGATAATCGACCGTACAAAGGCAGGCACGTTCAAAAGCGGCTCTGCTTTGACATCGAGGAGCTTTTAATGAAATTCTAGCAGCAAAGCAAAGGAACAAACTGACTTCTGCTCTGCAGAATGTCAATGTCGGGGGATTAAATGACCCCGTCTAAAAATAAAGTCCAGCCTCCTGTCTCTGGTCTTACTTCAGCATAGGGTTGTCAAGATACTAAAATTTTAATCGATACCATTTTCGATACCACAAGGATAAAAACGAAGAACATTTTTCACAGGTTAGTGTCTTTGGTTTCAAACTTACCTGTTACTGATGTTATCGTGGCCAGTGGCCCACATTAATGACCCTAACCCTAACCCTCCAGCCTTCATAATTGTGAGCAATAAATATTTTTTGGTTAAATTTGTTTGGATTTATTGTACAAACCTATTTAACATCCACTATTTTAACATAATATTATGTGTAGAGTTTAATTCAGTGTTTGCAAGATTAATTTCACTATTTTTAAATTAATGTCTATATTGCCATGAAGCAATTAGGATTTTCTTGCCTGGGATCTTCCTATTGGTGATGTAATCAAAATGGCCGACTTGGATGTGGGGGAGTTGGATATCCATCCTTGGCTTCTTGTAGACTTGATAAATGTTGGTGTGTTATTATTAGCCATTAGCCGCAGCTAGCAATTCAAGGCTAACGTCATGTTAATGACCATAAACAACGTAAATAAATCAATCAGAGGGATTTTTTTGAGTATCGATATTCTTGACAGCCCTACTTGAGCAGAGGCACAATGTCGGAGCTCTCCTTGAGTTTGCGGATGTCCCGGTCCCTGCAGGGGGCGCACAGCGAGCCCATCATCCCGATGACGAACTGGGACAGCCGCCCGATGTCCAGCGCCCCGTTCTCCGCCTGCTGCTGGATCAGCGGCAGGTCCAGGACCTCCTCGATCCGGGAACGCAGCCGGCCGTGGCCCGGCAGCAAAAAGGACAGCAGAGTCTGGGGGGGGAGAGAGTCAGAGGATTAAAACGGGCCTCAGGAGCCCCCCCCCCACCAGCCAGGACCAGCTAACCCCACAGGATCCCACCTACAGAGACCACGGCCTTTTTTAATGAGAGGGTGGAAATGTTGAAATACAGCATTTAATCTGCCTAAAGATGCACAAAATGGTTCTGCACCTGCAGGAAATATGAAAAAAAGGAGGCATCATTTGTGTTTTCCCCAACATCAAGACCAACATTCCCCATTTTGAATATCATTTTGATAAAGAAACATTTGAAAAGAGAGGCTTCCTGGAAGAGAGCAGTTGGGGCTCTTCAGAAATGCTCTCCATGAAGGGGGGCTGTAAAAAGCCACTCTGAAGGAGTGAAACAGGGAGGAAAGGCTGAGCTCTGCCAAAGGAACCAGAAGTGGACTCAACACCAGCTCTGATGGAGGGACCGATCCTCCCTGCTTTGAAAAAAAAAAAAAGAATAAATAAGGCCAAAAATGACCAATAATACACCAAAAAAGCAAAAACAAGGCTTAAAAGTACCAAAAAAGCAAAAACAAGGCTTAAAGGTATAAAAAATACATCCCAAAAAGCAAAAACAAGGCTTAAAAGTATCAAAAATACACCAAAAAAGCAAAAGAAAGGCTTAAAAGTACCAAAACAAGGCTTAAAAGTACCAAAAAATACACCAAAAAACAGAACAAAAAAAACAGAGCTAAAAAGACCAGGGCAAGGGTTTTGGATGCAGTGCTGGCGGTAGGCATCAGCTCTTCCCTCTTTGCAAAAAGCTTATTCTTCAGAGTCTGTGTCGTACATTCGGGTTTTCCACTTTTGACAAATTCGAGTGTTTTGAACCTAACAGTAGGAAGCTGTGCGTGCAGGAAGGAGGTCTCCTATCGGACTGGAATCCAAACGGAGGGGCGCCCTGCCGGGTTTAGAGAGCCTGAGGAGGCGCCGGACAGAAGCTGTATTAACAATCAGATGTTTTTAAGTGAATATTTTCGCTTCCTAAACTGAAAGACTCCTGGTTTGGACCCCTGATCCTCATAAAACTCCCGGAGAAAATATTAACTACAAATGAACTAGGATTCATCAGCATTAACAGGCTTTTGTTTTACAAAGCCAGAACATAGAAATGCAAATCAACCGTTGTGAGTCTAATCTGCTTTTTTTTTAAATTTCTTAATACTATTATTATTTTCCACTTTGAATTGGAGGGGTCACCTCTTTGATCTCAGCCAGCAGCCTGATGGCGTGTCCGTAGGAGGGCGGGTCTTCGGAAAGCTGCACCTCCAGACAGTCCCAGAAGGCCTTGTGCATGATCTCCTTCACTTTGCGCTCCAGGCTGAAACGGGAGCAGAAACACAGGCTGAAACAGGGGGGGGGGGGGGTGTAGTATATGGGACTACACGTCCCATGATCACCCAGTGTTCGGACAACCAATTTTGTTTACGTTTTGGAACACGTTACCGCTCAGTAAGATGTGGATACAAGTTGTTTTGTTTTTTTTTTCCAATGTCAACGTCTCCTTTATTTAAAAAACAACTGACAGGAGGGGTTTCCTTTTAGATTTATTTATGTTTTACAACACAGAAACTTTTTGAGGAGCATAAACTCTGAAGTCTGAATCCACTCTGAATTTGGTGTTGCACAAGATCTTAGAAAATAGTGTCTACCTTAAACTCAGATCATTGAAAACTTGAGAGTTCGGAAAACTTCAGATGTTGAATCAAAGATACAACTGAAGAAACCAGAAGTTTCTCTCACTGTAATGTCAGCGCAACACTATGTGGATACAAGGTTTTACCATATAAAAGTTGAGACTACTCCAGCTGTCATTCACTGCACAACACCGGGACTTGACAGGGGGGGGTGGGGGGGGTTTCAGGGAAAAAGGGAAAATGGGGGAAAAACGCTCACCTTCCCTCTGGAGGCTCGGCCGGACGGACCTGGAACTCCTGGTTCAGCATGATTTCGTGGGCCAGCGCCATGTTGGTGACGCCTTTGGCCGTCTCCATCAGCTCCTCCACGGAGACGAAGCGGGGGGGGCTGGCTGTGG